ATTTTTTGGTATACTTAGTATGGTCAAATAATGAGAGGATAACTAACTTTCCCATGAAATCACTTTGTTTATATAGTTTCTGAGAGCGAATGATTTCATCTGGGAGAGAGCTATTTATTTCATCAACATTTTTACTGGTAATATAGTCTATAAGTACTTCCTCTTTTCCAGGAGCTACAGCTTTCCAAAAAAAGCAAACTATTCTTTATTAAGTTTTTTTAGCAAACATACTTGTGTTTTAACTTATCTTTATTAGTATTTTCTAAATGTTCGAACATCTTTTTTAATCTTTATTTTATTGGACTTGCATTAAGAACCTCGGTTACAATCTCACGGCTTCTAAGAGATCATCTAAAATCTCTTGTGAAGCATTAATTTTAACGGGGTCAAGTTCTTTATCTCGAGGAGCAGGTGTCATATATCTTTGTGTTTCTGTACATAAACTAGTGTTTTTATTGACTCTAGATAAAAGCAGTTTCTTGTTTTAAATAAGTAAAACATAGCATTGCACCAACTGAAATTACTTTATTTTACCACTTTGACATTGATAAGACAACATGTATCGGTGACGCCTTTAAAGCAGGACATTTTTTCTGTTAATATGTAGATGGTGAGGATAAAAACATGTTTTTTCACTGGTACACCTTAGGTATTGCGCTCCAAGTAACACCAAAGGATACTGATGAAAAGCCCATATTTGTTCATCCTCAAGACTTCTTATAAGATTATTTACAATAAGTCCATTCTCTTTCCAAACATTATTATCGAAAGATTGCATTACCTAAAAACAATTTTTTAAAACAACTATTAGGTTTGTCATTTAAAGCATTGTTTATAATTTGGTTTTTACTATTCACAAAAAATGTTTACAAGTTTGAAACACATTTTTGTTATTATTAAATTAGAATATTGCAAAAGTGCGATTGATTTGTGATTATTTATTTACAAAGTAGGAATTTAATTAAAAAAGCCATTTCTTTTTGTTTAAAGGCCTTGTAAATAAATAATCACAAATCGTCTTAAAATCTTACGGCAGAGTAGTTATAAAGTATGTAATTATAAAAATTATATTACAGTCTGCGTACATTTAAAACACATAATTACCTTTAAGTTGATGAGATGTTTCTTGAAATTAACATCTCCCAGCTAATGAATGTAGAACATATTGTTTATAATTTTATGCTTTTTGAATGATCAACAATTCCCATTTTAAAAAGCAACAACAGTTTTCATTAAAAAAATTGTTTTGTTCCATACTCAACTAAAAACAAGTTCTATATCAAAGTTAAGACGTGATGGTAAAATAATTTGTTTTATGACAATCGCCCACAAACTAGTTTTTCCATAATCGTGATATCGGAAACTCTTCGTTCCGTTCAATCACCAAAAGTTATTTGCTTATGACATAAATTTTAATAACTCACTTCTGATCGTATATTTTATTTTATTATTTATTTCAAATGTTATAACTTATATACCATAACCCGAAACTTTTTTCTAACATTTCCTGCAATGTTTTTTGCAAAGCTAAATGCTAATTTTGGAAGATAGAAATTTTATTGTGCTGCTGAGCGATAACCGATCTGAATCCTTCAACTTTTTTTTCCCGAACAAGGTTTCTCTATATTCTGATCAATATATAAAAAGTTCAAGTATTTTGGAGGGGATTACTTCCACTGACTGCCCAATTCTTACAAAAAATGGCTCAATACTATGCAAATGGCAAACTTTTTTTTTTTTTTTTTTTAATGTTATTTAGGTGCTCCCAGAAGTTTTTACGGTCTTATCACGGCATTTTTTTCCAGTTAAATGATCTCTCGCACCACGAGAGAGCATTTAACTGGAAGTTCACGCCTCTTCCTACCAATGTCGGTTATTGGGCTAGAGCTGACGTCGAACTCCGGACCTCTGAGCCAGAACTCTAACCACTGCGCCACGGCTGCTCATTACCATGATCTTAGGGTAGCAGGAAAAAATCCCCCCGAAATATTCCCTCTGGAAAAAATCCCCCTGGAAAAAATCCCCCTGAGAAAAAATCCACCCGTAAAAAATCCCACCGAGGAAAAATGCCCACGAAAACATCCCCCCCCCCCCCAAAAAAAAAAAAATAATAATTTGTTTTAATTATAAATTTTCAAAAGAATAGTTATATTTATTTATTTAAAATTGTTTTATGAAAATACTACATTTTTCATCAAAATGTCAAGTTATGCGCTATTCCTCGGTAAAATGAGAACCTCGAGCTGCGAACCGGTAAAATGCGAACTTTTTTGCGAAACAAAACATATATTAAAGACCATTATTTTTATGGTAAAAATAATAATAATAATAAAAAAACTCTCTAACTCTTAATTATCTATTTCAAAGATTTATTTCAAATAAAGTTTTTGTTTTTTAACTATAAAACATGCGCGGAGTGCAGCTACAAGGACTGACAAATAGCCTGACTCGCAACGGAGTGCTGCTAGATCGACTGAGGGTTTGGATTGGGAATGCAGTCTATCAAATAATTAAAAATAAATATATGTATATTTTATATTGTAATTTCCATTAACTTTTTTTTTTTCTAATCTTTTTGTTTAAAAGTCCTTTAAATATACCGCTAAATTAACTACGATGGTTCGCAAAAAAGTTCACATTTTATCAGTTCACAGTTCTTCAGGGTTAGGGTTTCACATTCTCTACCTTCGAGGATTAGGGCATAACTTGACATTTTGATGAAAAATGAAGTATTTTATATAAATACTTAGATTAAATAAAGAAATACGCATAACTATATATTGATAACTTTTAAGTGAAAAATTTTTTTTTTTTTAGGTTGATATTTTCCGGGGGGATTTTTTCCTAGAACCAATCTTAGATTATTAAAAATCACAGACTATAAAACGCTAAAAAAATTTAGCCTAAAAAATGTTGCGAATTGACGTCAGTTTGTGCAAAAAAAACTTTTATACGTGAAGCTTTTTGTATTTATCTTACATTTTTTGATTAAGGTTTAATATGGTGCATACAATTGCACAAAAAGACATACAACTGGTACAGATATATTATTTCAGCAATAAAAGTTTGTGTTTAATATAATAGTAATAAATAAATAGTTTTTAAGAAATAATATAGTAGTTACTATATTTCATTTTTACCGAAATATATCCAATTGGAATATATTCTATACATTTTTAATTAAAGGAATTTTTTTTTAAATTTCTAAATTTTCAAGTAAAAGTATATTTGTAAAATTTGGTATAATTTTTAATTACTTACATAACTTGATGTTTAAATGTTAGATATAAGCATTGACTTTCGTTCACATAAATAAAAAACGAATCATTACGGATTGTGGTTTCAAAAAAAATACTTAATAAAAGATGTTTTTATTTATCATATTTATTAACAAAATAACATAACTTAACTGCTTTTATTAGCTTTCAATTCTATATAAGTCTATATTGAGCAAACATGGCAACTGATTATTCTAATAAAATGTAATCGAATTAAAAAAAGGGAAAAATACACTACATGAATTAAAATAGAAATCAATTTATATATTCATAGTAACAAAACAAAAATATTTTATTTAAAAAAAAATTAACCACATATGCATCATTAGTTAATTGGTAAATTAACCAACTACAAAATATCAATTGGTAAATTAACCAACTACAAATTATCAATTGGTAAATTAACCAATTACAAAATATCAATTGGTAAATTAATCAACTGCAAAAGTACTATATTTAGATGTATCTAATTATTTTCACAGTGCTTTCTCAAATTATTCATACTACAATATAATCCTCAAATTATTCATACTACAGGATCCATATTTCCTGTTTAAAAAAAGGGGTTGAGCTTTTGCCCTAAATTTGGATTGACACCTTATGTGCCTTATGTGCCTTATGTGTACTTTAGGATCGGGGATCATATAAACATATAAATAGCGTACAAACGCATCATAAGATAAGCCTATCGATATAGAATAATATTTAACTTAACTAAAAACCTTTATCCATTTATTTACCAAATATAAATAAGGCTGTTGCAGCAACTATTGATGCTAAGATTGCTACAATTTTTTTTGGCTATAATAAATATCAAAAAAATACAGGTAATTATATTGAAAATTGAAATTATTAATATATCTCATGAAATAGAATAACACAATCATGATAGAAAATATTAAATATTTTCTGAACCAATTTTGAAGATGAAGGTAAATTAGAAACTAAAATCAACAATATTTGATAACCTGTGATACTAAAATTAAAATAGCAAACAAAATATCATTATTCCATTTTAAACATTTTGTACAAAATTTTGAATTAGAAACTAAAAAAAAGCAAATGTAAATTTTTAAAATGTAAACTTAGTGTTAGGGTTTTTGATATGAGTTTTTACAACCTTTAGCCAAAAATAGAAAGTTTTATTCTAACAGCCAAACCAGCTATCCCTCTTTTCCTTTTTTATCCTCTATCGGATAAATCAGCCCTAGTTTCTAAACTTTCATTTTCAAACTATGTTTAAACTCCAACACTAATATTTTGTGTGCGACTTATTATTCTTTGAAATATATTGTACAATAATATTTTGCTATATTTTATTAGGTGTAAATAATTTTGATTATTACTTTTTTTTTTTGAGTATATTTTATAACAAAGACAGTTTATTTTAGAGTTGTTAATCATAACTTTTATCTTTATTCATTACTCTTTATCCATAATATTTATTTTTGAAATAATTTGCATGACATATTAAGAATAGAAACTACTCTAAAGCAAAACATACAGCTTAAAATAAGTTTTTGTAGTAAAAATAAAAGACATTAATGCCATTAAACACGTATTTGTATGCAATCATATTGGTATGTGTATTTAAAGTTTATGCAAATTATTTACAATCAAAATGAAATTTTAAAAGATATTTTGCTATTAAAAGTTTGCGTTCATATATTTTGCAAATAGATAGGAGGAGTTTGTAGAATGCAATACTAAGCATTATTTATGGAGATGAATTTAGTTTTGCTTTCATTTTTAAAGCAAACATTACAAAACTTTCGAAACCTACAAAACTTATTGATTTTTTTTAATTGTCATTTTAACTTGCTGTTAGCATCAATATAAAATAACTATTTGCGTAAAAAATGATGATTGCAATTTTACATTTACTTTTATGCATTAGTTTTGAATTCTTATTAGTTTGTGGACTTTTTCAACCACATAGCAGCAACATTAGCAATGAAAGCACTATATTTGGTATGTTTATAAATTTATATTATTCTCACAGTCATTAGGTGCATAATAATAAATAAACTGAAATCTTACAACTTATACTATACATAATACTATTTAATGCATATATATATGTATATATATATATATATATATATATATATATATATATATATATATATATATATATATATATATATATATATATATATATATATATATATATATATATACTATAGCATAACTATATCACACTTGCGCACTTTATTTGCTCATCTAAATCGATATAGATTTTTTAGAAAATGAAGAGGGAAAAAAAATTTATAAAATGGTTGCTGACCCATCTTAAAACCTTTAGGCTATGTAGCAGCACTGCGAGTCAGACTATTTTTCAGTTGATGTATGTATAAAACACCCGGCAGCAGGCTATTTCAGTATGACGTCACACCTTTGACCTAAATCAGCAGTATCAGATATATATATATATATATATATATATATATATATATATATATATATATATAATATATATATATATATATATATATATATATATATATATATATATATATATATATATATATATATATATATGCCTCGATACTCATGTTTAACTGTCTTTATTTCGGTATTAGTCTTAAAGCTTTGGTCTTAGTCTTGAAAGCCTAGAGTATTGGGCTTAGTCGGTCTCAACCTCTACTGTCTTTAAATTTCTTGATTCTTACGAAAAGTATCAACTTAATGAATAAACTAGTTATTAATAAAAAAAAACGTAGATTGCCGCAACACACCGTCTAAATGAGAGTTCGTCGTGTTGGTTAGGCAAGGATCTAAATTAAATTTTTAATGTTAGGAGAATTAGAATAAAAATCTTTGAATTTTTTTATAATGTTTAATTAAAAAGACAAGTAGATCTCGAGATTAAAGTCTTGTCTTGAGACTTATATTTAACTGTCTTAGTATTTGTCTTGAAGCCTAAAGTCTTGGTCTTAGTCTTGGTCTCGGCTTTTACTGCCCTGACTACATCTCTGGTGAAAACTACATAATTATTAAGATACATTTCAATTACATAACTAGAAGTGTCACGCAATAACGATCATCAGATGTAACAAACTTTGTTACATCTGATGATGATGATGATGTAACTTTGTTACATCTTGTTTGTTGAAGCCTAGAAACTTCTGGTTATGTAATCGAAAAATATCGCAGTGATTATTTAGATTTCATTATGTTTTTTGCTATACTAATTATTTAACACGCTGTATATATTGTATTGAGCACACTTACTAGAGATATTAACACAATTTCTACAATATATATATATATATATATATATATATATATATATATATATATATATATATATATATATATATATATATATATATATATATATATATATATATATATATATATATATATATATATATTTATATATATATATATACACATATATGTATATATATATATACATATATATATATATATATATATATATATATATATATATATATATATATATATATATATATACATATATATATATATATATATATATATATATATATATATATATATATATATATATATATATATATTAACTAGTATTATGTTTAGTATAAGTAGTTTTAAATTAAACGTAAAAAAACAAAGCCAGAACATTGTTAAAAATTAAATAGAGTGTAATAAAAGTAAAAAATATTTATATATTTTTTACTTTTATTACATATTTATAGATTGTTTTTTTATTTGTTTATTTCGCCGTTTAAAAATACTTATAAGTTTTAAGTATATAAACACAAACATTGGCGTAGAAAGTTTGTTTACTTTTTAAGTAAAAGTAAAACATAATTTTACTTTAATTCAAAAAGCAATCTAACTGTTTATTGAAATTGTATTAGTAAAAGTAAATATTAAATGGTTGTCAGTTAAAGAAAGTTTTTTCCTTTTCATGAAACTTAAAAAAAAGTTATATTAAAATGTAAAAAAATAATTTTTATATAATTAAATATAAATCAAAAGAAGCATTTAAAGTTAGTTATATTAAAAAAACCGAATCGGTAACACCTCTTAAAATCATTTTATAATTTTTTTATAATCCTATTTTTTTTTTTTTTTTTGCATTTTCAACCATGGGAACCATTTTCCACAAGAAAAATAAAATATTCAAGTTATAATAAAGTTAATTTTGCATTACAATTTAAAATAATGAAGTTATTAAATTAATGCTAACAGTACATCGATTTTGATTAACTTAAAACCAATGTACTGATGATTTTTTGGGATTTTATTGAAGAAAACTACTGAAATTTGTTTTTACAAGTTTTTGATTCGTTAATTTATGGAATTGTAACAACCTTATAAACTTAAAATAATTTTCATGAACTGCTTTTTTAATTTTCATGCACAGGTTATACTATGTAAAGATGGGTAGGAGTATTTAGTATCGGTGTTTATATCACCATTTCTATGTAAAGACAGCTAAAAGTTTTTGTATCTTTAATAAATGCTGTTATTGAACATTGATTAATAATATTTGATTTATTGGTCAGATTTACTAAATTATCATAACTAGTAATAAACAATAACGTCGACTAAGTTTCTTTAGCCAGTAAAACCACTGGTAGCCTTTAGTGACAGATCCAGGTTTGGGATGGTGGTATGCAATCCCCCCCCCCTCTACTAGAATCTAAAATGAAGAAATGGTTTTTTTTACATCATCATTGAAAAAGGCAGATTTTTCGATTTTTTAAAATGATACATTCTGGTGATTCCAGGGTGGCAAATAGATTCATGTAGTTCCTTAAGAGAGGGTCCAGTTGTAGTTATAGAGATACAAGATTGAAAGAGGGCATCAGCAACAAAATTGTTACATCTAGGGCGATAAACTATATTAAACCTGCACGAAGAAAGTTCTATCCTTTATCTCTGAATCTTGTCTTTCTTAATTTTTCCACTCTTATTATTGTCAAACATAAAAGAGACAGAGCGTTGGTCGGTGACTAGAGTAAATTGCTGACCAACAAGTTAGTGTTTCCATTTTCGAAGTGATTCGACAATAGCATAAGCTTCCTTCTCAACAGAAGAAGGTTTTTTTTTCAGTAGGTGAAAGTTTGCGAGAAAAGAATGCAACTGCTCATCCAGCCTGATTAAAGGAAGCAGCTATGGCAAAATTGGTGGCATCTGTTTCCACCTCAAATAATATACTTTCATCAATAGCTTGTAGAGCTGATTGAAAGATTGATTCTTTCATTTCATTGAAACATTTAATAGCTTCAGTTGATAGTGGAAAGGTTGAAGTTAGAGATAAAAGATGAATTTTTTCAGAAAAATGTTTGATATATTAGGAGTAGTATGAGAACATACTAAGGGCTCGACGGAGAGAAACATTATTAGTGGGAGCAGGCATTTCAATTAATGCCTTTAAGCAACCTGGATCAGGGGAAAAAGAGCCACTTTTTATAATAAAACATAAGGAAGGTTATACACGAAGTAGACAATATAGACATTTCTTCATTGAACGTAAACATTGCTTTCTTAGACGCTTCAAGAAATTTTTCTTAATTGAAATCATGTTTATTTTTAGATGTACCGCATACAAGCAAGTTTTCTAGATATACGAAGGTATCTTCTAATTTGTTCTCTTTAATAAACTTATCCATGATTCTTTGAAATTGTGCAACAGCATTAATGAGGCCAAAAGGAATTCTTTTAATTTGGTAAAAATGTCCATTGGACTCAAAGGCAGTATAACACTTGTCACTTTCTAGGAGAGGTATTTAGCGATAAGCACTTTTTAAATCAAATGTGCTAAATAATGAATAATTTGCAACAGAGTTAACTAATTCATTGATGTTAGGTAAAGGATAAGCATCAAGTAGTGTAAAGCGATTTATTGTTTGTGAGTAATCAATGACCATGCGTTTCTTATGTCTCTCATTCCTTGTAACAATTATTTGTGATCGCCAAGGAGAGTTACTGGCTTCAATTATATCTAGTTCCAAAAGTTTTTTAGTTTCTTGCTCAATGAATGCTTTGTCGTCTGAGTTATATTGTCTAGAAGGTGAAGCATTCAGTCTACATTCTGGAGATAGAAAACGGAAAAGAGTGCTAGCTTTCATTGTAATATTATTTAGAGAACAGATTTTTAAAGAATCTTTTTTACCACCATAATTGATATAAAGACTTTTGTGCAACTGTGGGAAATCTCTACCAAGTATGATTTGTTCACAAGAGTTGGGTGTAACCAAAAAGGTAATATTAGAGTACTTTATACCAAATAAAGTGAAGTTAGTTGAAACTGTACCTATAACTTGACAAAATAAGGAAGGATCAGCCATAGAGACTCTTATATTAGAAGGGAGTATATTAAGTTTTAAAGAGTCACATAATGATTTGCTTATAAATGTGTCAGAGCTTTCAGTGTCAAGAAGAGCTCTTACCTTGGCCCTAGCAATAAAGATAGAAACAATAGAGTTGAGTGAGTTGATAGAAGAGCAAATAATTGAGGCTAAACTTGGTGCATGGAAGTTAGCAGCATCAGACATGACAAGGTTTTTTGATGATTTGCATACTTTCTTGAAATGCCCTTTTTTACCACAATTGTTACAGTCTGCATATCTGGCAGGACATGATTGTCAAAAATGACGTTTACTTCCACAGAAATAACACAGTCCACTAGGCTTAGTAGAAACTCAGTAATACATTCAAAATGTTTATTATTTGTAGCAACATTACTATACTCTGTATGTAAATACATTTCATTATTTCTTTGAGCATTTTCCAATGAATGAGCTTGATTATAGGCCTCAGTAAGTTAAAGAATAGAGTTTTCTAATAGTCGTTGGCGACTATGATGAGAGCTTAAACCACTTATAAATGAATAACGAATGTCCTGCCAGATATGCAGACTGTAACAATTGTGGTAAAAAAGGGCATTTCACAATGTTCTAAAGCAGAAACCTGTTTAAAGTTGCAATCTTTACTGAGTGTACGTAAGACCTGCAAAAACACATCAATAGATT